ACGCCACGGGACAGCCACTGGACAACCGCGCTACACCAGCGGGACAAACCCAGGCACGCCCTGGAAACCGAACAGCGACTCACTGTGGCGCGACCTGGCCAAAGCGCGCTGCTTTGCCTCGCCCGCACGCGCGCACGGCACCAACCAAAACCGAAACCGATGCCCCAGGTGCGCAACTCCGTTTTTCACTTCGGCCTCATCCCTGAGCCTTCAACATGCAGTCATCGTGCTACCAAGAGAAACGCATAATGAGGAACGGAGGGGCTCGTTCTGGCCACGGGGGGCCCGGGCCACAAACAAGTTCCACGATCTGAGTCTCAGGAACGGCCCGAAAAGCCGAACCCCCTGGGCCCGAAACGGTCCCTGTTGCAGCGTCTTGGCTGTACGTCGTGCTCTGTTCTGCCCTCCATGGCTCTCGATAGCGCGGCTGCCATTTCTCGGAGCGGTCCTTTCCGCGCTTCTGGCTGTCGTCGCCAGGCCGCTGACGGAGCTCGGGCCCGCGACGGCGTCCGTGCACCCTGCAAGATCCCAACTCCTGGGACAAATTGGCCCTGCCGACCGCCCCTTCCGGGCGGGCCGCGAGGCTCGGAGGAAAGCCCGTCGAAACAGCGGCGGCTCGCCCGCCCAATCCTGACCTGTCGGGCGCGGCCTCGCCGACCCCTGGCAAACCATCCCCTCCCGTGACGTCATCCTCGCCCGTCTTTCAAGCCTCCCTCCAGCCGCGTGCACACGTCGCGGGGCGAGGCGAGGGGGACGTCGGGGCAGGTGATCGCTTGCTGGGGGTCGGTCCGAGGCCGCCACCGAAACTGCTGAAGATAGGGGCAAGGACGCCTCCCGGGGTCCTCGTCCTCGTCCTCCTCCTCCTCCTCATCCTCGTCCTCCTCCTCGTCTTCGTCCTCGTCCTCCTCCTCCTCACCCTCCTCCTCCTCCGCGTCCTCCCCCCCCTTCTCCTCCTCGTCTTCCCCCTCCTCCTCCTCCTCCTCCTCCTCCTCCTCCTCCTCCTCCTCCTCCTCCTCTTCGTCCTCGTCCTCGCCCTCGTCCTCGCCCTCCTCCTCGCCCTAGCCCTCGCCCTCCTCCCTCCTCCCTTTTTCTCCTCCCCCTCCTCCTCCTCCTCCTCCTCGCCCTTGCCCTCCTCTCGCCCTCGCCCTCGTCCTCGCCCTCCTCCATCTCCCCCGAGTTTTCCGAGACGGATCCCGCCGTGGCGGCGACGAGGCTGCGGGAAACCCAGGTGCGGGCGGACAAGACCAGGAGGGGGTCGCCGTCGTCTCGGCGGGGCCCTCCTCCGAGAGGTGATTCAAATGCCGCCGGCACGAATTGGTCCAACCAGTCTAACGAATTCGGTCTGGCATAGAGGGGAGGAGGAGGAGGAGGAGGGGAGAGGAGGAGGAGGAGGAGGAGGGGAGAGGAGGAGGAGGAGGAGGAGGAGGAAGAGGAGGAGGAGGAGGAGGAGGAGGAGTGGCCCAAACCCCATGGCAACGCCCAGATCTCCGGATCGTCGGTGTTGGCGTCCTCGTCGGCGTCTCCGCCCTGGCCCTCGTCCTCATCGTCGTCGTCGTCGTCGTCGTCGTCGTCGTCGTCGTCGTCGTCGTCGTCGTCGTCGTAGTCGTCGTCGTCGACGCCGCCGCCGCCGTTGTCGTCGTTGTCGTCGTCGTCGTTGTTTTCCTCGCAGTCGTCGCTCTCAGCCGTGGTGATCACCCCGCTGAGCAAAGATTTTACCCAGGCACTGGGCGTCTGCAGCTGGCAGCGCTGCCGAAAACAAGTCCCGGTGCCCCAAAACCTGGCGAGAACACCACGTGAAAAATGTGCAAGCCCCGGGGCTCGGGGGAGTCAGGGGTCGGTGGTTTCGGGGGGGGACTTAATGGGGGGGTCATAAGTGGTGGGGGGGTCAGAAACGGTCCCCGTTCGTGCCCCTTTCGGGCCCCTCCGGAGCCCCAAGGGGTTCCTTTAGTTACCGTTTGGGTACCTTTTCGGACCACCCTCGCCACCCCCCCATTTATGACCCTCCATTGCGCAACGCCCAACAGAAGGTCGGTGCTTGGTGGCCGGGCGGGCGCCGGGTGAGTCCGCGGGCATGCCCCAGTTCGCGACACCTCTCGCTCAGGTATGACCGGGGAACTGCCGGCGCTTGCGACGACGACGTCGACGAGGATCACAACCACCACCATGACGACGACGACGACAACGACGACGACAACGACAAAGATGATGGCTTCGACGTCGACTGCAACGACGACGACGACGACGAAGGTTGCAGCGACGACAACGACGACAACGACGGCGACGACGACGGTTGCAACGACGACAACGACGGCGACGACGACGACGATGACGACGACGATGACGACGACTTCTGCTCTCGAGGACCAGCACCGCCGCGGCGCGGAGCAGTTCGAGAAGGCAGGGGGGAGGGAGGGCGAAACGGAGCAACGGGAGGAGAGAGAAGCACGGAGGAGGGAGAATACTGGGGAAGCGGAAGGGTGGCCAGGACCCAGAAACATCTATCGGGGATGGACAGAACACACTTTAGTAAAACGTGGTTTAGTGAAAACGTCCTCGGGCCCAAACCTGGCGGGCGCAAACCTGGAAAATAACGGAGGCGGCGCCCTCTCGAGAACCAAAAACGGACAATTCACTAATCGACGTGTCAGGGTGGGGGTTCTGTCCACCCCCGAATCTAGGGCTCAGAGAAAACTGCAGCGGCAAATTGTCCCCCACATGTTTCGTAGGGTTGTTGGTTTTCTTCCCACCCGCGTCGTGCCCGCGTCTCCTCCCACCTCCCTCTTACCCTCCTCCTCTTACTCTCCTCTCACGCGCGCAACACATGCATGGCATGTACGTGAGATGCGTGTTTACAGACAACCGCACGCACGCACACTCTCGTACACACACACACACACGCACGCACACACTCCAACAACGCCAGTGCACGCATGGCGTGTTCATTGCATGATACAGCCACGACGTATGCGGCACAGACTGGGCACCCACAGGAGACACACGTTCAGATACAGCAGCACACGCATCATACACATGGCACGCACACCACACAACACAGACGCGCAAGATTCGCAAGGGCAGGCGTGGCCCTTCCTCCACACCACGAGGGGTGCGCTAGGGGTGGTCTCCCTATCAGTTTCGGGCCTGCAAAACGTGGCAGGCGTGGCAGTTCCTCGACACCACAGGGAATGCGCGGGGGGTGGTCTACCTATCCGTTTCGGGCTCGCGGAGCGTGGCAAGTGTTGCATTGTCGGCACCACAGGGAATGCGCTGGGGGCGGTCCCCCGATAAGTTTCGGGCCCGCACATTGTGGCAGCCGTGGCAATTCCCCGACACCACAAGGGGGTGCGCTGGGGGTGGTCTCTCTATCCGTTTTGGGCTCGCAAAGCCTGGCAGACGTGACATTTCCTGGCAGCTCTTCGACACCACAGGGAATGCGCTGGGGGTGGTGTCCTTACCCGTTTCGGGCTCGCAAAGCCTGACAGACGTGGCACTTCCTGGCAGTTCCTCGACACCACAGGGAATGCGCTGGGGTTGGTGTCCCTATCCATTTCGAGCTCGCAAAGCGTGGCAGACGTGGCACTTCCTCGACGCCGCAGGGGGGCGTTGAACGCGCGCTGGGCGGGAGCGGGTGGGAGGTCGATGCTCGAGGCTCGGCGCTTCGTTGACGCCAGAGGGCTGCGCATGGGGTGGGGGATGCGCGGGCGAGAGCTCGCGTCCCATCCAGAACTGTAAACAACTTGGCTCAGACGGGCTCGGCTTTCCTTCGATCTCACGCAGGCGCGCCTGTAATCCCATTTGAGTGCAGCAACCGCCCTTCCTGCGCACGGCACTCGTGCCGCCTAAAATTGCCAGGGACGCCTTGCCACATCCGTGTTGGGCAATGAAAAACGCCATGGTTCTGAGGGGCGGCGAAGTCCGTGTGGAGAGCTCGCGCCGATGTGCAAGCGGAAGGGTGCTTCTTCCGCATTCCATGCGTACCGGCGCCGGCTTCAGAATTGGCGGCCCGATACGTCGTGCGCGCAGTACTCCGAGATGACGACGGCAAGAGCCAGAGCCTCGTGGCATGCGGCACACCTGCGGAGCCCAGCGTCGGGCGGGTTCCCTTCCGAGGCTCTCGCAGATCAGCCGGAGGACGGGGGGGGAGACCGCGGCGGGCCCCCGGCGAAGGCCCGGCGAGTGCGCGAGACCGGGCGCTGACCCAGAGCCCCCCCGTTGGCACAGCATGCCACTCCTATGAAGGCCCCGCCCGTGAAGTCCACGCCAACGAGAGCGCTGCCAGTGCAGGCCATCACCCCGCAACGGTCTCTGGCAGTTCTGTGGGCTACTTCCGTTCGGTCCATTGGCACGCCTCGCATGCAGCTGTCCCCGGACCCGGCGGACACCAACTGCCGTTGGTCGCAAGGGCCATGGTCGCGGGAACTGCGAGAATCAATTCAGCTCGAGAACTTGTCGTCAAAACGCGGGGTACTGCGAATGCTGAGAATGTAGGTGTTCAGCGCGACGAGGGTTCAGAACGCAGGACTTTGCATAGCTTATAACGGTGAGCGAGCACATAAGATTTGAATCAAGTATGTGGGGGTCCTCGGTAGTGTAATTGCCGTTTTCGGCCTCTAGGGGGCCATCAACGGGCCACGGGCCCCAGAACCGTCCAAAACCGACGCAGGACGAAACACCTGCCCTGTAGGGACGTGGTTCAGACCTCCAAGGGTCCACGCATCGAAAACTTGGAACGCCGGACGTCTGGGGAGGAGGACAGGAGGAAAAGAGGGAAGAGGGAGGATGGATGGGGTGGATGGGGGCAGAGGGAAGAGAGGGAGGCAGGGAGGGAGAGTTGACGCAGGGGGAGAGGCAAGGCCACGATTCAGAGATGGCGCTCTCCACGCCGCCCCTGCCTACGCAACACGCGCTCCGACACCCGTCCGCTCCGGCTCGATCCTGTGCTGGTAGCCGCTGGGAGCGCTGCAGTGGGGACGGGCCACGCTGTGGGGACACCTGGGCAGCCATGCCCTGCTGGCCGCGGCGACGCCCAGAAGTGCCGCCCACTGGGCCCCACAAGAGCTGCGCCGAGGCTTCAGCGCCCAGCAGAGGCACTCAGTGGCCACCGAAGGGAGGTCGCGGGCTGGCTGGGCTACGCGCAAGAACGGCCCCAAGCGAGAGTGACGCCTGGTACACGGCTTGCGGGCGCCGCGGGGAGGCCAAATCCAAGCGCGCCAACTATTGCCAGGGGGACCCCAGTGGGTGGACTTCCAATTCGTCCGCTTTCGTTTCGCCCCGTTACGACTCGTCGTTTGTCGCTCCGTCCTCTCTCGTTCCGCCTGGACGATGGACAGCGGACACACGGGAGCGGACGAGTCGAAGCGGACGACACGAACACTGGACGAAAAGAAGCGGACGAAATGAGATTCAACGACATGAGATGGAGTCACCACCTGTGTAGAGGGCAGAAGACCCGCCCTCAAGAGAAGCACCCCGACAAGCGAAGCCGCTCAGCCGGCGCGCTCAGGGCAGGCATCGCACAGGGCAGGGCTGTCTAGGAAACGCCCAGGGCCGCCAGCAAACGCCTATCGTCGGGGTCTTGCTGGTTCTTCTTTGGAGTCGCGAAACTGGCCATCGCTCGGACGTCCATTCCCTGTGCTTTGTTCGGTTTCGTGCGTGGCTGTTTCGCCAAACGATCAAGGATGCTCCTCGATGGTTTCCACCGCCGTCCGAACGATGCCAAGGAACGGTGCGGTGACAGACCGTGCGGTGACCTCGAAATCCCCCAAGACCTCACCGCACGGTCCGTCAACGCACGGCTCTGGGACCTCGGAGGCCCCAGCCGCCCGAGACATCCTCGGAGAACGACCCGAGTCCCAAAACCGTGCGGTGACCCCGAATCCCCACCGACTCACCGCACGGTGTGGTCACCACCCCGTTTTCGGGAGCGGCCAAGAGGGGGGTGTCCAAGAGGGGGGGGTGCAAATCATGACCGGCGGCATGTGCGCGGCCCAGCGGGGGGGCCAGGGACGTAATGAAATAAGAAGAGGCGCCATGAAATCTGGGGAAATATCATGGCCCCCGCCATGATATCCCCCCCCCCTAGTCATCACCCCCCTCTTTTCCGCCCCCGACGTTTGGGGGCCCCCGGTCTTCTGCCTTGACGGTGTGCCCGCACCGGAGACCACTCTGGCGGAGGGCCGCTCTCGGGCGCAGCCAGCTGGCGCCGAGCTCCAGCGACGTGCGCGCACGGGCCTCCGCGCGCGCGGTCCCCGACGCGGGGCGCGTGCCGGCCCGCGGCGCGCGATCGCCCCGGGCTTCTTGCTGATGGGCCTCCTCCTCCCCCTCCTCCTCCCCCTTCCTCCTCCTCCTCCTCCTCCTCCTCCTCCTCCTCCTCCTCCTCCTCCTCCTCCTCCTCCCCCTCCTCCTCTTTGTCCTCCTCCTCCTCCTCCTCCTCCTCCTTCAATTCCTTCCCCTCCTCCTCTCCTCCTCCCCTCCTCCTCCTTCTCCTCCCCCTCCTCTTTGTCCACCTCCTCCTCCTCCTCCTTCACTTCCTTCCCCCCTCCAACTTATAGTGATGGTGGTGGAAAACGGGCCCATCATCTTGCAACGCCGCACGCGTCGCGGCCCAGCTCTGCCAGCAGGGGCTTCGCGGGCTGCCACTCGCAGCGAGACGTGATTGCACTGGGGCCGTCCTGCTTGGAGGACGGCTGAATTAGACGGCCGCCTCGGAAAACGGTGGTTCCAAAAGCATGCGCGGTCAGGGAGAGACTCCGGGGGACAGGCGCCTGGAGGACCCACCAGCACCGCTGCTGGAGGGAAGAGGCACGGTGGCAGGAGATGCAACAAGCGTGGGCTGATCCGAACATCCAAGCCCGGATGAACCAAACGAAAAAAAAGAGCATAGTCGAGCAGCGGGTGAACACCTACTGCTGCCCACTGCGGGAGGCAGAACGTGGAGCCCCGCCACCGCTTGCAAGAAGCTGGCGGGGGTTTGGCCCCCTCTCAGTGTTCAACACAGACTGGAGGAATGATTGGTGGTGCGGACCCAGACAGCAGCGCATGGCGCCCACGATATGCACTCTATGTGGGGCAAGATGCATGTTGCAAGTCATGCCGTGTAAGCTCTGTGGTGCAAACTACGTGGAGCAGGCTGCGCCGTGCAGGCCTCGTGGTGCAAGCCGCGTGGTGTCAGCTGTGCGGTGCAAGCTACGTGACGTGGCAAGTGGTGCGATCTGTGCGGTGGAGGCAGTGTGATGTACCCTCCTCGCCATCTCTCGGACATCCATTCCCTGTGATTTTTCCGGTTTCGTGCGTGGCTTTTTCGCCAAATGATCAAGGATGCTCCTCGATGTTCCTCGCCGAAGGAAAAATGCACACGTCCGAGCGATGCCAGGGGCAAAACCCCGGGAGCCTGCAGGAGTGCTGAGGAAGGCAGGAGTCACAGCCACGGAAGGCCAAGCACTGTGCGGGGAAACTGCTCACGTAGGGTCAACACTGCAGTATTCGGGCCTCCGCGTCGAGGAACTCTGACATGATGGACACGCGCGACGAAGCCCAACGGCACTGGCAGCGACTAGTTGACAACCACGAGGCAGGCCCGTGTGGCGCTGAATCCTGAAGCCAAGACATCTCAGCATGCAGTCGCCTGACCTCCGCCACTCGCCGAACGCTTCCCTCGAGGAACACTCACGTTCATTCACTTGGAGCTCCGCTCGCGCTCGGGCTTCCTGGATCGGCGCTGGACACCCCTGCGCGCGCCAGGGGGTCCAGCGCCAATCCAAGACATCCGCGCGGATCTCCGAACCTACATGCATGTCTATGCCATTGTTCTTGCTCGATCCCCCGGGCATCTCCCAGGGTGCGTTCTGGCAAGAAGCTCGAGGAACGTCCAGCCGTAGCGGGGAGTTGTCTCCAAGGCTCTCCGATGACCTTCGCCCGTGGCTGCCTAAACTTTCCAGGCTCCTGGTCCGTACTGACCAGCGGGAGGCTCCAGCTTCCGGCTCCACCACCCAGGACTTGGCGGCGCGCAAAATCGGGAGCGGCCAAGAGGGGGGTGTCCAAGAGGGGGGGGTGCAAATCATGGCCGGCGGCATGTGCGCGGCCCAGCGGGGGGGCCAGGGACGTAAAGAAATAAGAAGAGGCGCCATGAAATCTGGGGAAATATCATGGCCCGCGCCATGATATCCACCCCCCCCCCCCTAGTCATCACCACCCTCTTTTCCACCCCCGACAAAAGGGGGGGGAGACACGAGAGGGGTGAGCTTCCGAGAAGGCCTGGGGGGGGCTTCTGAGCTTTTGACGAGGCCTGGGCCTTAGCAGCGCCGGGGTGCTTCTCAGAAGGCTCCCTGGAAGCCAGGAGGGTCTCCATGGATGCCCTACAAGATCCGATGGATATACGAAGAAATCTTCTTGGATTCCCGGAGGAATCCGATGGAGTTCCTGAGGATTCCAAGGGGTTTCCGGAAACATCTCATGGATTTCTGAAGGAATCCGACCGATGTCCTCAGGAATTATATGGAATTCCGAAGGATTCCTATAGATCCCTTCCGGAATCCAATGGATTTCCTGAGGAATCCGATTCCTGCCGTATAAGGAATTCTAGTGATGCCCTATGGACTCCTGAGAAATATCCTGAGAAACACTATGGATTTCCCCACGAGCCCCCAATGATTTCGCATGCTGCTTTCTTTTGGAAGGCCGCCCACCTCGCGCCCCACGTGTGCGCGCCGCCCAGCCAGGCCATCCGGCGCCCCACAGTCTGCTTGAGGCGTGGATCCCCCGGAGGGCTGGACCACTGCGCCTGGAGCCTGGTTTTCTCTGGGCCCGGGCGAGTGCACTCGCATGGCGCTCGCCCCCGCCCCCCCCCACCCCCGCCGCCCCTCTTCCATCAATCACGAGCGTGCACGTGCCTTTCGACCTGCGTGATTCCCGCACGTCGAGATGTTTTCGGCGTGCTTCAGGCTCAGGCCGCCCCCCCTCCGTCCATGAAGTAAACTTGCCCGAATCCACAAAAATAGCCTGGCGAAGCACTGAACCATACGCAGTTGTGAACACCGTCGTTGTATGCACCGCATTCGGAGGAGCTCCCTATAGGGCCACGAAACGTGTGAGGGGTGTGCGAAAAAATGTCTGGTAGGCGCATGCGAAAGCAGCTGCTGGGGCTGTCGGTGGAATTCCGTATGGGGTCACGACATGCGTGAGAGGTGTGCCAACAAAAAGGTGCGGTGGGCGCATGCGAACGCAGCCATGGGGGCCGTCGGTGGAGCTCGCTATGGTGCCGCGAAGCGTGTGAGGGGTGTGCCGAACTGGGTGTGCGTGACGCATGCGGGCGGTAGCCCTGGGGCCTTCGGTGGAGCTTCTTATGGAGCCACGGAACGTGTGAGGGGTGTGCCGACATGGGCGTGCGTGACGCATGCGGGCGGTGGCACTGGGGCCTTCGGTTGAGCTCCCTGTGGGGCCACGAGACGTGTGATGGGTGTGCAGAAATGGGTGTGCGTGACGCATGCGGGCGGTAGCGCTGGGCCTTCGTTGGAGCTCCATGTGCGGCCACGAAGCGTTGTACTGGTTGGGTGAAACGCAGGGAGGAGGGAGGAGGGGGAGGAGGAGGAGGAGGAGGGAGGAGAAGGGAAGGAGGGAGGGAAGGAGAGAACGCGGGGACCGTCTCTTCAAAACGCGGACCCGACACCACAGGATGGCTGGGAAAAACAGGCTCCTACAGTGGAGGCCAGCCCAGAAGAAACCTTCCACAAGAAACCCAACCCTGAGACCACAGCACGTCCATCGAGTTCTGGTGCGGGAGCGTCGCGCTCTCCATCGCAGAGCCATCGAAACCCGAGAAACCCAGGGCACCCTGGAGGCGAGAAGGGTGTTTCTTGGTAGGGCCCCTCACTGTACATTTCGCAGCGGGTCGACTGTGGACGGTCCGGGGCCCGCTGAGGCCCCCCCGCGAAGTTCGGAGCTCGAGGCTCGACCTTCGAAGCTCGGAGTTCACGTCCGCAGCTCGGACCTCGAGGCTCGCAGCCCACAACTCGAAGCTCCAAGCTCGAAGCTCCAGCCCTCTCTCCCTCCAGGCCGAAAGCGGTAAGCAACGGACATGTTGTGGCTCGGAGCCATTTCCTCGGAGCCATTGTAGGGTTTGGGGGTCAGGCCTGCAGAACACCCCAAACGGACGTGCTGGCGCGCAACCAGCCTGTTCGGTCAACCTGAACTTGATGCACCACATCTGGCGTCAAGCCAAAACTTGGGACAGAAGCGAATGGTCGGATGCTGCACATCGTTGCTCGGTTGAACTGGCGGGGCGGGCTTGACCTATGCTGCTCCGAACGGACTCTGAAGGACCACATCCCAGAACAACAGATCGAGCACCCAAAAAGGAATCGAAACAGTTTCAAGCCAGTACCGTCTTCCAGGGCCAGACACGTGAAGTCCCTCCAGTTTCGTTACTTTCTTGGTGCTCGAAATCCTTCCTGGTGATCAAAGCTAAAGTAGGTAAGAACCTTATAAGGCTTGACAACATTGACGCCCCTCTTGTTGGTGGTCTTGCAGCGGAAGGCGCTCCCTGACCCTTGCGGCCTCCTCCTCCTCCTCCTCCTCCTCCTCCTCCTCCTCCTCCTGCTCCTCCTCCTCCTC